GTGTGTGTGCGTGTGTGTGTGTGTGTGTGTGTGTGTGTGTGTGAGAGAGAGAGAGAGAGGCGATATGAACTCCTCAGGAACCAAGCTTCAAGACATGGGATTCCCCACCCACCTGGTAGACATTCGGCACAAACGTCCAGAAATTTAATGCACTCAATGACTCTTCCCAGCCTAGTGCGCCATTGGGCAAGAAACCCAGTTGACCTCAAAATGGATACTTAAACTACATCCCATACGGATGACAAGGGGTCAAGACACAGAGGGTACCGGAGTATAACAGGCAGCGACTCAAGGGGGTATAATGACAGATTGTTTCATCAGGCTCTCACCGACTCATCAGGAGGCTGAACCCCACACAGTCTGCTGAATCCCCATAATCATGAATTAAGTCCTCAGTCTCCTACTTCAAGACCTGTTGCAAGTGGACAGCCCAGGCAGGTGATACACAAGCAGCAACATAAACGAGGCAGCAGGAAAGCAGAGGGTGGGGGTGGGGGTGGGGGTGGGGGTGGGGACGGGGGGAAAGGCAGGGAGGCAAACTACAAAGCAGCAATCTAAGTGGCAGACAAGCACAGGATGCAGCATGCAGGCAGGCGTGCAGCTGGGAAGACATTAAGGCAACCAGGCATCGCCAACAGAGCAGACAAGGCAAGCGGGTGAGAAACATAGCACCCAGCCTGGCCAAGGGGGGAAGCAGGCAGCAGTCCAGGAGAGGGCAACTGAAGGGGAGAGCAGGCAAGAAGGGACGTGGGCAAGTGGGCAAGTGGGCAAGTGGGCAAGTGGGCAAGCAGCACAGCAGGGCAAATGGGCAAGCAGAGCAATAGCGCAACACAGGGCAGTGGACAAAGGCAGCACAGCAGCACAGCAGCACAAGGCAAGAGGATGGGCAGCAGCTATCATCTTCCCCTCAAATAGAACACACGCTTATTATCGCTGAATTTGGGGCAATTTTCATCTATATATATACATATGTGTAGACTACATTTCGCACTATTGAGTAGCGCCTACTGGCTATATAGTGTATAATATATATTAGATCACCTGTTGCAGCTTTGCGTGCAAAAACACAGGACGATAAACCAACGAACATTCTGTTTTTCTCTATTTTTTTTTGTGGTAGTTGCTTTACCAGTTGATCGCGGATTTCAGTGGGAACCCGTTACACTCTCAGCATCGTTTCTGTTTTTGCTATGGGTGCTGGCACACACAGTTGCAGTCAAAGAACTCTGCACTTCTCTGAGAAAATGCTGCCCTCTCCATCTGATTGCTGAGGATTCCGATTTTGAGTCCGCTTGCTGTGTTTTCTCAGTATGTGTGTGATCACCCGCTCCTGTATGTATGCCGTGTGCTTGGCTGCTGACCTCTCTCTCTCTCTCTCTCTCTCTCTCTCTCTCTCTCTCTCTCTCTCTCTCT